AGTAGACATTGTTTAAATGGACTTTAGTAAAGCCTTTGACAAGGTTCTGCATTGTAGACTAATTAGTAAAGTTAAGTCACATGGGTTTCAGGGTGAGCTTGCCAATTGGATACAGAATTGGCTTAACATCAGGAGATAGACAGTGGGGGTGGAATGTTGCTTTTCAGACTAGAGGCCTGTCACCAGCAGTGATCCACAGGGATCCGTTCTAGGTCCTCTCTTATTGGTCATTAATGTCAATGGTTTGGATGAGAATATAGAAGACATGGTTAGTGAGTTTGCGGATGACACCAAAACTGGTGGTATAGTAGACAAGGAAGAAGGTTTTCTAAGATTACAGTGGAATCTTGATCAAATGGGTCAATGGGCTGAAAAATGGCAGATAGAGTTCAAACTGGAGAAATGCGAGGTATTGCATTTGGTGCAACAAACAAGGGTAGACTTACACAATTAATAGTAGGACCTTGGGTAATGTTGTGGAACAGAGGGAGCTAGGGGTGCAGGCACATAATTCTTTGAGATTTGCATCACATATGGACAGGATGGTTAAAAAGGCATTTGGCACAATTGCCTTCACTGCTCAGTCCTTTGCATATAAGAGTTGCAAAGTCATGTTGAAATTGTACAGGACATTGGTGAGGTTTCTTCTGGAATATTGGGTCCAGTTCTGGTCGCCCAGTTATAAGAACAATATTATTAAGCTGGAGAGGGTTTAGAAGAGATTTACCAGGATGTTACCAGGTACGGAAGGTTTGAGGTATAAAGGAAGGCTGGATAGGCTGGGGCAAATTTTCACTGGAGCATAGAAGGTTGAGAGTTGGCCTTATCGAAGTTGATAAAATAATAAGGGGTATAGATAGGGTTAATAGTAGTTGTCTTTTCCCTAGGATGGGGAATTTCAAGACTCGGGGGCACATTTTTAAGGTGAGAGCAGAGTGATGTGAAAAAGACATGAGGGGCAAACTTTTTACACAGAGGGTTGTTCATGTGTGGGATGAACTTGCTGAGGAAGTGGTGGATGTGGGCACAGTCATAATGTTCAAAAGACATTTGGATAAGGGCATGAATAAGAAAGGTTTGGAAGGATATGTGCCAGGAGCAGGCAGGTGGGACTAGTTTAGTTTGGGATTATGTTCAACGTGGGCTGGTTGGACCGAAGGGTCTGTTTCCGTGCTGTATGACAGTATGACTCTAACAAGAGGAGCTGTTTCTTCCTGTCTATGCCCCTCATAATTTTATACATCTCAGTCATGCTCCCCTCAGTTTCCCTCAGTATGGGGGTTAGGTAGTGGGGAGTTTGGCATAGGGTGATTTACAGATGTGTGGGGTCCTGTTGGCTTGTGTGAAAGGTGGTAGAAAGAGAGTGACTCATCTGGCAGCATTAATCAGAAAAGGAACAAAAGTGGATGTTGTTTGGCTCCTCAACCCTCCTCAGTCACTCAAATACGCAGCTGGGATTAACCTATGGGACATTAACACTTACTCACCTGTTGTTGGACTGTAGTCACATACGAGCAGAGAATGGCGAAGGATTGTAGCGGTCCATCCTTGCGAATATTAATGAGTCAATTGGACTTTTACAGCAAACAACAGCTTCCTGTTGTTGTCAATAACCAGACTGGGGTCAATTCCATAACTCACTTTTGGACTGATGCCACTCCCACTCAGACACTGTAGACGCACATCACTGGCTGCAAACGTGCAGGCAGAATGCTGAGTTAAACAGTCACCAAAACTGAGACAGCATGCTTCACCTCATGAGAGAGTCTAGGCCCAGAATAAAGGGGCACCAGTTTAAGACTGAGATGAGGAGGAATTTCTTCTCTCAGAGAGCTGTGAGTCTTTGCAACTCCTTGCCTCAGACAGTTATGGGGGCAGAGTCCTTGGGTATATTTAAGGCTGAGATACATAGATTCTCGATCAGTCAGGGAATCGAGGGTTATGGGGAAAGGGCAGGAAAGCGGACATGAAGAACATCAGGTCAGCCATGATCCTCTTAATTAGCAGAGCAGGCTTGAGGGGCCAAATGGCCTACTCCTGTTCCTGTTTGTTATTGTCTTAAGGGCGGCTGTGGGAATTGAACCTCATGTCTTCAGACAAGGATAAAATGAGTGATTAGCCTGGGTGCTCACACTTTCTGTCCATCGATTCCCCCGCCTCTTCCCTGTCCCTCCATTATCTATTAACCAACCCCTCCGCCACAACCCCGACCAACGCCATCTGCCCCCCCCCCCCCCCCCCATTCACTTCCTCCACAAGGAAGCCACGGTTGTTTGAAGTTTCATTAAGAAAGTAACAAGTTGAATATAGCATCGGGGCCGTGGCGATGCTAGTGTTGTGCTCGGGCTGTGTGGGCCTGACAACTCAGCTCTTCCAGTGGAATTATATTCTCAACTGAGCAGGTTTAGAAAAGAAAGACAATTATATAGTGCCCCTCTCACCTCCACGATATTCCAAATTGTTTCACACATGAGTGAAGTACCTTGTAGGAAATACTGTCAAAAACTATGCACAGCAACATCCCAAAAAAAACAATTTGATGACAACCAGGCAATCTGCTGCCATAATGTTATTGTGGAAGAAATATCAGCCAGGATCCCTCAGTCTCCAACGCTCCAGGGTCAAAAGTCTCAGCATATCCAGCTTCTCCCTATAACTCAAACCCTCCCAGTCCAGTGAGCATCCTGGGAAATCTTTTCTGCACTCTATTTATAGTAGGCTGGCCTCATAGAGGTCTCCAAAATCTTGACAGGCATAGATAAAGTAGATAGCCAGCAACCTTTTCCCATGGTAGGGAAGTCTAAAACTAGAAGACATATGTTTAAGTTGAGAGAGCAGAGATACAAAAAGGGCCCAGAGGGGAAATTTTGTCACACGGAGTGTGGTGAGTATGTGGAATGGGCAGCCAGAGGTAGTGATGGAAGCGAGTACAATTTTGTCATTTAAGAAACATTTAGACAGGTGCATGGATGGGATAGGTATGGAGGGATATGGACCAAATGTAGGAAAATGAGACAAATTTAATTGTGAAAACTGGGCGGCATGGCCAAGTTGGGCCGAAGGGCCTGGCTCCATGCTGTAAACCTCTATGGCTCTAATGACACTGGGGAGGACATTCCTTCTCCTCTTTGAACAATGGCTGTGAGAGTGTGAGAGAACAGACAGGACGTCAGTTTAACATTGTCTCTGAAATACAGCATCCTCTGACAGTGCAGTGTTCCCTCAGAACTGCACTGGTGCCTCTGATTTGGGCTTAAGCCCACAAACCTTCAAGTACAGAGGGACTGCGATTCCATTGCACCCCAGCTTCACCATATCAAACTTATGATTAACTACACGACACTGAAAATTGGTCCAACGTTTATTTTTATGAAACATTATCTAAGATGTGGTTGCCTGGGATATAGAAACAGTTCTCATTCTACATAGATGCAGTGTGAAAACATCATTGAGAAGTAAAATACAAACCATTTATTAAGACATCATTTTCTCCTTAAAGTTGTAGAGATGCCTCTGCAATCAAGCCCACTTTAAATCCTTTGTGATGCGGTGACACTAACAAGGCAGAGTTTACCATCCATCCCAAGAACATTGACCATCAGCCATATAACACAGCACAGGAACCAGATACAATTCAGAAGCTGATGGCTCTCTCTGAGACATTCAGGAGCCTGTTGGGTTTCTACAACACGGTTTGACGTTCAATTACCTGGTGCCAGACCCTCAAGTTATACCAAATTCAGTTTCAGAGCTTGATCTTGGTGGGGATTTGAACCAGCGACCTTGAGGATCCTGGGTCTTGGGCCTGCACCGACGATCTTTACTGAGACACTCAGGTCAAGTGCCTCTGAGTTCTTCACATCCTCGTCTGCTGCCTGTGCTGTTTACTGGCATGGGCAGTGGGCATTATTGCAGAGGCCAGAGTGCAACCCACAGCACTTTGTTGACACAGTCCACCAATAACCCTCAGTTACATAAATTAATCTGTCATCAAAAATAGATAAGTTATCTTATATTCCAATACACGTAACCAACAAATATCCTTGAAAACAGTCTGCACACTCCAATAAAAATAATTATTTTACAGGCTCTCTCTCAATTGCAGGACTAGCTGTTGGATAACTAATTCCCTAACACCAGGGCATTCTGTCAGGAATTGTTATCAGTCATGGAACTGGTCAAAATAAAATCATTCTCAAAGTGTTAACCAATCAGGGTGCACTGAGAAAGCATCTTCCAATCCGTTCCCCTTCCAACACACGTGACTTTAAACAGTTGATGCCATTGAATAAGTGAAATAACAACAACTTTCATTTATATATCACCATTAACAGAGTAAAACCATCACTAGATGTTTCATCGGGACATTATCAAACAAAATTTGACACTGGGCCTCTTGAGGGCAGAGGACCAAAGCTTAGCTAAAGGGGCAGATTTAAGAAACATCTCAATGAAAGATTAAGAGGTTGGTAGACAGAGAGAGAGAGAGAGACAGAGACAGAGACAGAGACAGAGACAGAGAGAGAGAGAGAGAGAGAGAGAGACAGAGACACAGTGACAGTGACAGTGAGAGAGAGAGAGAGAGGGAGACTGAGAGAGAGAGAGACAGAGAGTTCCAGAGCTGAGGGCCAAGGTAGCTGAAAGCATGGCCACCAATGGTGTAGCAATGAAAGCTGAGAAATCAATACTATTGTTTAAATGTTAAAATTGTTCGAAATTGTACAGCCCTCTCACTGCTTTTTTTAAAAATTTATTAATGGGATGAGGACATCACTGGCTAGGCAACATTTATTGCCCATCCCTAATTGCCCAGAGGGCAGTTCAGAGTCAATCACCTTGCTGTGGGTCTGGAGTCACATGTAGACCAGACCAGGTAAGGATGGCAGTTTCCTTCTCTAAAGAACATTAGTGAACTAGATGGGTTTTTCCCCTGACAATCAACAATGGATTCATAGTCATCATTAGATTCTTAATTCCAGATATTTTATTGAATTCAAATGCCACCATCTGTAGTGGCAGGATTCAAACCCAGGTCCATGGGGCATTATCTGGGTCTCTGAATTAACAGCCTAGTGATAACACCACTAGGCCATTGTCTCCCCTCCTCTTCTGCTGACCCTGTATTTGGGGGCTTGGAATTGCTGGTTTCTTCAGCTCTGTCATTCCAATTGTTTGCCTCAAAGAATGAACTTGAACTTCTACAGTGCCTGTCAAAGCCTCAGAACACTTTAGGGGCAGTGAGGCAGCTTTTATTTGTAGTCACTGCTGTGTATCAGGGAAAGATGACAGCCAATGTGTGCACAGGAAGCTTCCACAAGCAACAATGGAATAAGTGACCAGGAAGCCTGCCACCAAATGGGGAGGGTGCTGAAATTAGCCTGGGCACAGTAGGCATCATGCTACCACCATGTTAAACCCCTGACTCCTATTCCACCAGAAACCCAGATCACTTTGAGCTACATGTCGAGAGATTGCGATCAGTTAAAAAAGGGACTCAGGAACTGGTGAAGTGCCCAATGTGCTACAAGACAGTTGCAACCAGGGATTAGTTTAACCATTCCTTCCTACCCAACCACATTGTTAATAAACCATTCACCAGGAGCTCCTCCCCTCTCCCCACCACCAATTCTCCACAGGGAGATAACAACTCAAGGATAAGAACTTTCTGACAGGAGGAAGGGTGTGTGAGTCAGTGGCTACAAGCACGTTTTTCAAGTTGTTCCAAGTTGGTCATCCCACAAGTCACAATAATTAACTCTGAAGAAGTAAGACAGGTCTTCACAAACCCATTCCGATAATAACAGGCAATTACAATAATGCAAAGATCCATTAATTATCAAGATTATATTCATTCCGATATGCAGCTGGAGAATCTCATTCACCACAATCACGATTTTGATGTGAATATGATAAATTACAATGTGAAAATAGCTGGTTCTACACATGAGATTAATATTAAAGTTGGAGAGGAATAAAAAAGGAGGCTATTTCTCAACAATAAATGGCTGTGGTTCATTGGAACTGTAACTTTAATTTTAATATAGTCTATTCTCATGTTACATTTGCCAGCAGTGATTCCTCTGTCTAACTGTGGTTTACAAACTTTATTAAATTGGTACTTGGCTAATCCTCAATGATTCCACTGGAGTTAATAAAGGTGACATGTGAGCAAAGCTCATCTGGGCAGTTGAGTCACATCATCTCAAGAATTCCCAGGATTCATTGGTGGCATTCCCTGCCCACCTCCCCACCCTCCCATTTAGTCCATGCTCCTCAGTATCCCCTTAATCAGTACACAAAGGAATCTTCTCACCTTGGAAGCCACCTCAGCCTCTTTGCTCTTCCCTCAGCCTTGGTCCATTTGGAATTTGATTTGGGGTTTGCACAGTTTCTCTCAGGATTCATTAGAAATAATCCAATGATATACAAAGCCTAGGTCAGACTGTGTTCACATCACTGCACTTCAGGAAGGAGGGGCTTCAGTGTAGATTCACCACTCATACTGGGATTTAAAGGGCTAAATGAGGGGGTGGGGGGCAGGTTCATAAACCAATCTTTAATCCTCAGGGTTTAAGCAGTTGGGGAGTGATCTAATTGTATTTCAATAGGGTAAACACAGAGAAACTATTTCATCTGGTGGGAACAGGCATTCATATTTGAGCCAGTCCATTCAAACGTGAAGTCAGGAAGAAATCCCTCATATGAATTGGAATGAAAACTGGAACTCCATTCCCAAAAAGCTGGGAATCTGCTGGAGCTTTCAGGGCATCAGTTTTAGCTGGGGATGGGAAATGGAACAAAAAGAAGTGTGAAAGTGTATTTGAGATACCACTCAGCCGCAGTGTGATTGAATGGCAGTGGAACAGCCTTGAGGGGCTGAATGGTCTCCTCCTGATCCATTCTCTCGTTACCATCCCTGAACGGTGGCTTTTGTTTCACCTATTACCCCCTGTCCAGTTTCTCGAGTCCCTCTCATTGGGATTCACCGATCTGGATTGAGGCGTGGAGCTGAGCAGACAGGTCCAGATTTTCCTTCTGGAAAAGTTTAAGTGGACATCAGTTAGGAGCTTCACCATCCTCTCTCATCAGCCGTAAACCAGACGAATTTAATGCATTCATTTTCAATATGGGTCATGGTGGAACGTAATCTGAACAGAGAGAAGCAGGTTAATGTTTCAAGACCAATATGACTCTTCTTTAGTTCTGAAGGAAAGTCAAAATTGTGGACATTTTGCCTATCCATTGCCCAATACCCGCCAGCTTAACCCCATTCGTGGACATTCACATTCACATATTCCAACAGAGGCTTTGGTCACTGCATTTTCAAATTGGACTTAACAATCAGACTGATTACACCAACCTGCTTCATAGACCCATGGAATTTCACAGGTAAAAGAAGCATTCAGGCCACCGTGCCTGTGCTGGTTCTTTGGAAGAACTATCCAATAAATCCCAGTGCCCTGCTCTTTTCTTATAATCTTGCAAGCTGTTCCTTTTAAAGTTTTCTCTAATTCCCTGTTCAAAGTGACAAACCCCCTCCTACCAGCCTTTCAGCAATATGTTTCATCTTCAAGAGCTCAGTGAATAAGAAAATTTCCCCTTGTCTCCTCCCTTGATTTAGCCTCCTTTGTTATTCCACATCCATTCCTTAATAAGTGACAGTTAACAGTTTGTTTGCTGTAAGGAGAACCCGCCTCTACTTCATGTTCATTCGATACTGTATCATCTTCAACTCTTTGACCATTTTCTGGACATCACCATTATAGGCTAGTAGCTCATTGTAGGAGTTCTGCTTCTGTATTGTTTTCAATGCTTCCTCTATAATGGGCATGATTGGATCCAGACTGTACAAGTCCTGGCAGGAGGTGTACAACACTTCCACAGCCCCATGGAGACTGTACAGGTAGTTGTAGCAATATTTCAATTTGCTTTTCATATCAGCCAAGAGCCCACATGCTCTCTCCATCTTTTCCACCTCTCTTTCTTTCCGAGCCAGGCTCTCCTTCAATCTCTCGATCTCTTTGCTTTTCTCTGGTATCTGATTGTTGTACTTATGCATGTCATCTTCTTTCTGCTTGACTTCAGCTCGGAGACGATTGATTTCACCGTCCACTGTCTTCACCAACTTTTTCGTGGTATTTAGTTCCTTGTTGTAGTTGACAGTCATTGGAATTCCTGGAAGATGAAAACAAAAGACAAGTGACATTGAGGGAGAACTGTGCTCCATTATGTTACGTCTTCTTAATACAGGAATATTTTTTGTTCATTCATGCGATAAGGGCATTGCTGGCTAGGCCAGTATTTATTGCCCATCCCTAATTGCCCAGAGGGCAGTTAAGAGTCAACCACATTGCTAAGGGTCTGGAGTCACATGTAGGCCAGGCCAGGTAAGGATGGCAGATTTTCTTCTCTAAAGGACATTATTCCTTAGCTAAGGATATCATTAATCTGGACATTAATGAACCAGATGGGTTTTTCCCAACAATTGGCAATAGCTTCATCTTTATTAATTGATTCTTAATTCTAGATTTTTAATCAAATTTAAACTCCACTATGGCAGGACTTGAATCTAGGTCTCCAGAACATTACCTGGGTCTCTGGATTAACAGTCCAGCGATAATACCACTAGGCCATCACCTCCCTGGATTTGCATTGAAAGGATACCGTACAAGCGACCTTAAATTAACTTTGTGACTGTACTGTCAGAGGATGATCCTCCCTATAATGTCTCCCTTGTCCTGTCTGATTATGAACCAATTCTCTCCTACTCCTCTTTAGGAGGAGTCTGGCTTTTTGTCTTTCAACGGATCTCTCAACTAAGAACTATGTGTTGACTGATAGTGGCTGACCAATCACATCAAACCAGGCAATCTCTTTAGACCTTCTCCATGTTAATGGCTATTTAGTTAGAAGGGGGTGGAAGCAGGGAGCATGTACCTGAATAAGTGGTGAATCAAGTCAGTCTTTCGAGGGGTTACTTATAAAAAACATGACAATCTGTTGAGTGAAGCTATGGGAAATCAGCTCAAGGAAACTGAGGAGAATTGAAACAAAGTACAAGGAAGTTTGTGAATAATTGCTATGTGAGCGTTCCTCGACTTTGTGGTACAGTGCTAATGATCCTAACTCTCGGCCAGAGGTTCAGGTTCAAGTCAGACCCGCTGTGGCGATATTGTCCAAACAGTTTAGTTAAAGACAATCAAAATTATCCTGCACCAAGGGGCCATGGCCATGGCCTCAGACTAACCTCATAACCAGAATATCTGGTGATGCCCGAGGATGGGATTTGGAGATGGTAAAGTACCAACCAGCCACCATTTCTCTTTTAGAGGTTGGAAATTGTGGGTTTGACAGCTGTTATCATAGAATCCTTGACAACAATGGAACCCAGATCATCAGGGAGAGCTCTCTTCACCGATGTCAAAGTGGGGGCCCTTGCTATCCACCTGACGTATTAGACAAGACCTTGGTTGAAATGTTGCAAATGTGGTGTGGCAATTAAATAGTTGTTTCTAAGACGATCCTTTGTCTTTTTAATCTCCTTGAACCTAAACCTTCAGAGATACTATGATGGACAATGTGAGATGAATCTGTTTCTAATGCATTGGCACTCCCTATTAGACATCTTGCTACTCCCTCAATCCTTCAATTCTCTTTAAACATGTAGATGTGTTATATCATTGAATATTGAGCACTTCTTACCTACGCAAGGAGCAAGGAATATTAAACCAATTCCCATGTCCCTTCCAGTGACTTTATCCCCTTTCCGAGCCTCTGCAGTGTCCAGGGCAGTCTCTTTGTGTTTTAGGGATGATCTGGCAGCTTGAAGCTGATCATTGGCCTGGTATCTATGACTCTCCAGGATTATCAGCTCATCTTTCTTGATCCAGAGACTTTCCTCCTGCTCCTTCCTCTCCCTCTGAGCCTTGTCAAAGTCCTCCGCCAGCTGCAGGGCCTCAGCTGTCATCGAGTCGATCACAGTCCTGGCCTCTTTCTCAGCCCTGCTCATCTCCTTGTAGGCCAATTCAATATCAACCTTTACTTTCCCAATTTCCAACTCCTCCAGCTCCTTATTACCGAAGGTGGCAGCGGAGTTAGCGAAGGATACAATGGAAGACATCCCACTCACAAAAGGGGGCAAAGTGACATCTTTGAACTTCTTCTCGTATGATTCGCAATCGAGGGTTGTCATGGCTGTTCTGCAGGGTCACAGGAATGAAAAGTGAAAAAGCTGAGTAATGGTTGAGACCTGCATTCAGTCAGACCTCTGCATTTCCCTAGAATTACTGGCCACTTTCTAAATGTTTGTATCTTTGCTTCTAAATGTTTGTATCTTTTACATTTAGGTATCTTGCAGACGTACAAAATTTCATCAAAATGTGTAATAAATGCTTTTTGTTTTTTAATGTTTCGTTGACCTTTCGAAGAAAAATGATCATTTCTTCCAAATCTGATTAAGGCAGTTCCTCGACTGATAAATCACTCAATATCATTCCACCAAATGCTGGAAATGTAACTGAAGCAAGATTAATACATCCTCGAGATCTGATGCCTTTAAGATGTCTCACTTCCCCAGTATTCCCAGTACCCCGAACCCAGCAGTTTAATGAGCACCATTTTACTATCTCTGGATCCCACAGAGGGGTCCCACATTAAAGCTGCACAAGACATTCTGCAGGACTAATTGAGCGTCCTGACTCAGAATTCTTTCTAATTGACCCAAATGGACAATCACAGCAGATAAACTTGTCTGGGGTTGAAGCTGCAATTTTGCACTAGAACAGTAGGAGGCGATGCTATGTGAGTGGGCTCAATATATCTTATTGAACAGGAATAGCAAGATCATTCCCCTTCAATCTGGCTGTTATGTCAGCAAGAATGGCTCACTGAAACAGGGGCAATCAAAATTATTTAACTGTATAGTATAGAAATAACAAAGTTAGAAGATGCCTGACAAAATTGTATCTTTCACAATCATACGTAGCATTCTTAATTTCGCAGTGACCAAAAGGAGAATGACCCAGTTAGGAGTAAGAACCATTTTGGCATTCAAACAGATCATTGCTGACCACTTACCCCATACCTTCAAACTCGCTTGTCACTCAAGGTTAACAATACAGGGACAACATTTTTATTCAACATTGCAGCTTCTAATATAAAATCAAAATGTATAATATAACGTCTTGTCTAATATGTGAGCATCATTGCTTTCGACTACTCTCCTCTCCCTTCCCTATCTCTGGGATCTCCTCCAGCTATATACATTTCCCCTGCCTCCCATGACTACTGGGCTCCTCTGATTCTGGCCTCTTGTGTAACTCTGATTTTAATCACTCCACCATTGCTGGTTGTGCCTTCAGTTGGCTAGACAGCAAGCTCAGGAACCTTTTTTTTTCTTTCACAGGATGAAGATGTCACTGACTATCATTTATTGCCCACTGGGTAGTTAAGAGTCAACCCCATTGCTGTGAGTCTGGGTCACATGTAGGCCAGACCAGAGAAAGACAGCAGATCCCTCCTCTAAAGGACATTGGCAAACCAGATGGACTTTTCCTCAGCAGTCAACTGGTCAGATTTTTATTGAATTTAAATGCTACTGTTTGCCATGCCAGGATTTGAACTTGGTCCCCAGAACATTACCTAGGTTTCTGGATTACTGGGGTAGCAGTAATGCCACTAGGCCATTGGCTGCCTCGAAATGCCCTGGATAAATCTCTCCACCTCTTTACTTCACTTTCCTTCTCTATAACATTCCATAATTCCTCCTACTTCAATGAAACATAATTTGACCTAATGTCTTCTTACATGTCTCAGTGTCAGAAGTTGTCTTTATAATATCCCTGTGAAGCACTTTCTGATGCTCCAATGCTTTAAAGGCATGACATAGATATATAGGTAGTATAATTAGGAAACATTACTGTCAAGACCAGCATTTACTGCCCATCCACAGTTGCCCCTTGAGAAGGTGGGGGTGAGCTGCCTTCTTGAACAACTGCAGTCCACGTGCTGTGGATTGACCCACAATTCCCCTTAAGCAGGGAATTCCAGGATTTTAACCCAATGACACTGAAGGAATGACGATATATTTCCAAGTCAGGATGGTGAGTGACTTGCAGGGGGTGGAGTTCACATGTATCTGCTGCCCCTATCCTTCTAGATGTTAGAGGTCACAGCTTTGGGAGGTGCTGTCTAAGCAGTGTTGGTAAGTCGCACTTTTACAACAATAAAATAGAACAACCATCACTGAGCCAGGGCATTGAGCACGACTGGCCCACATTGGCGGTTATGCAACGTGAACTTCTCATCTCCCTCTCCGCTCCACCTGATCTGCATATCCTTCTATTCTTTTCTCCATTATGTTTATCCAGCTTTCCCTGAACTGCACTAATGTCATTCACCTGTGTGGTTGTGATTTGCACTGCCTCACTGCTCTCTGGTTTCTCCTGCGTTCCTTCATCAATCTATTAATGTCTATCCTTGGTCCCTACTCTGGCCTTGTTCTCAAATGCAATGATCTTTTCACTGGTCTGACTGGAGTTTCCAGGAGGCGTGACTATGAACTCAACAGTTTGGTATCTGCGCATGTCAAAACATAATCTGGAGGGAAATAGAATGTCACAGCAAGGCAGCGTTGACAATCAATTTGAAGCATCCTTTAGACACACAAAATCAAAGCATCCCTTTTAACATGAAACAGTCTCAGCAAATGTGGAGGAATCATGCAACCTTCTCCTTTTGTGGTCTAATTCAGAGCATTGCAGATAAATTGACCGTGTGCAGTAACTCGAAACGTATTGTTGCCCAAATTGCAATACTAAAGCTCACCACCAGCACAGATTGCCTGCACTTTCAGAACACACACACAGTCAGAGAGAGGCTACTACAATACGTCACCACTGCTTATTCCTTCTACAATCCTTACAATACGTGTCTGAAATAAATCACACGACTTTTAATCAACATTCTCATTGGCAAAAGTAATGTGTTCAATATAATCTGAGTAACTGAAGGACAGTACAATAAACTCTGCTAATAACAGATCAGGAATAATTCTAATGTGTGCTGATTACAGTTGTTTCATTGTATTGCCTTTTGATTAACAACACATTTTAATTTAATCTCAGAAAAGTAGTGTTTTCTTGACACTTTGTGAGCTACATGAGGCATTTAATCGGACTTATCCTCCCTCTCCTTCAAACCCTTCTTCTTCCCTCATTCCATTGCCTTCCCTCCCTCTCTTCCCCCTTCTCTGTTCCACTTCTTTCCTCCTTCTACTACTCTCTCATCCTTTCCTTCTCCCTCTCTCCCTCTCTCTCTGCCTCTCCCTCCTTCCCTTACAGTAAACCCCTTTTCCTCTCTCATTCTGTTTTCTCTGTATATCTACGCCTTGCACACCATCCACTTCTCCCCCTCCCTCTCTCCCATCCTTTCCCTCCCTATATCTCCCTTTCTCATTCTCTATCACTCCATCTGTCAATCTCCCTTACCCTCTCCTTCTTCCCCCCTCTCTTACTGTTGCCTTTCTCCAGATCCCTCTGTCTCTTTCTCCCTCACGACCTCCTTTTCCCTTCCCTTCTCTCACACACTGTCTATCCTTCTCCTTTCTCGACTATGTAATGACTGATTTTTTTTTCCCCCATTGTATAATTCAATGTTCATACTTGCTACTCTGACAATAAAAATCAAGCTTGAGAATTCTAGGTTGAAATCAAAATCATGATTTCTGATTGGGACAAACAGAAATCAAGAGCCAGATTTCTCTCTCAGAAAGTCTGCCGCGCCCAGATTTCCCTATGTCGTATGGATTTGAGGGGCTGATTTCCCCACACACACCTACAGGCACACATACACAGACAAACACGCACAGATACACACACATATAGATATACAGACACACAGACACAGACAAACAAACACACACACATACACACACACATATAGACATACAGACACACAGACACAGCAAACAAACACACACACATATACACACACATATAGACATACAGACACACAGACACAGACAAACACACACAGATACACACACACATATAGACATACAGACACACAGACACAGACAAACACACACAGATACACACACACGTATAGATATACAGACACACAGACACAGACAAACAAACACACACACACACACACACACATATAGACATACAGACACACAGACACAGCAAACAAACACACACACATATACACACACATATAGACATACAGACACACAGACACAGACAAACACACACAGATACACACACACATATAGATATACAGACACACAGACACAGACAAACACGCACAGATACACACACACATATAGATATACAGACACACAGACACAGACAAACACACACACACATATAGATATACAGACACACAGACACAGACAAACACACACACACACAGATACACACACACAGGCACACAGACACACACACAGACACACACACACAATGAAAGACCATAATAACAATAGGCTCTTCCCTCTCTCATAATCAGCAGTCAGTGGAAATTCTCTTCAAAATAAAATGGTGTGGGCTGCTTTCAAATTTCAAATAAAGATGGTATTCATATTGCTCAAGCAATCAGAACAAAACTTAAATGGTCTGACATTTTACTTCCACTCTGTGCCTCTTTATCTCCCTCACTGTGACCTTATGTAGAATTAAGCTCAGAAACTGGAATCTGACTTTTAAAAGACTGCTGTTTGACCAAATGTCTGTTCATTCTCTCTCTCAGATCACTCTTGAAAAGTCGGATTCTTTGAGAAATAAATTTGTTGGATAGATACTGCCCTTAAAAGTAAGTCATCTTTGTTTTAAGATCTCTCTCTTATAAATGAAAATCTCGCTGTGCTTATTTGAAAATAAAAATTACAGATGAATCTCAATAAATGATGTTTACTGATAACAAACTCTTATTCGAACAATTGGACTTTCTCCCTTAAGGACAGCTGAGTGAAGGGGGCTCCTTCTCCCACTCAAACACATTCTGAATTAAGATCTTTCTTCTGCTCAATATATTCAGGCAACTATTCCCTTCTAAAATTCAAGCACTATTCAGTGCTTTGTCAGGAGCTAAAATGTGGGAAACTTTTACTGTATGTCAAAAAAACCCTCCAAACTAGATTTCAACTCCAGACAAGGATTTTCTTGAAAAATGAAGTATTTCTTGCTTCAACCGTTTGATTTTCTGTCCTGATTTAAATCCCTTTGCCAGTCAGACTGCAGTGTCTTCAGCGAAGTGTGAGAGAAGCATGAGATTGGAAAGATCTCTGGGCGCGGTCAGGAGCTACAAATACATTTGCTGAAGAAATACAAGCCACGAGGCTCGATCCACCTTGGCTTCTCGATGCAGGGAATGAGCCCTAATCTGCCAGGATTACCTTCCCAACACTTGGACCCTGAGCTGATTCGACACAAATCCCACCTAATTTCTTCAATCAGTTCAAACCAATCAAGAATCTCACTCAGTAAACTTTGATGGATCCCCCCCACCTTCCTAACACAATAATATCATCGAGGACCTATTAGCTCGCTTGGAGCACGTGCGAATGAAACCTAAATCCCACCCAATTCACTTCAGAGGAGCCCTTTTGGGAAGAAAAATCCAGAAAGAGACATAAAGGCCAAGACAGAGGGGGAGACTCTCCTGCACACTGAGGCAAAGAAAAACATCGAAAATAAACCTAAAATGGTACTCACTGTTCAATCCTGTCGAGTGGTCCTGTAAATAAAATCCAATTCTCCCTCTTTTCCAGTACTGAGAGAGGTGAGAGGCTGCAAGAGAACGCTCAGATCCAAATGGTGGATGGAAGGGAATCCAGTAAATTCACCCAGACAGCCAGTAACTAACAGCAAAAACTGTGGTGTAGCTGCTTTTATACCAGGCTCAGTGATGGGAGGGGCATATTTCTAACAGACAAGTGATGGAGGAACATTAATGCATTTAAGTCCATCCCTCCTCCTCCTCCTTCAGGTTCCCCAGTTTGATTCTCACCCTGGATCCTGAACAGAGACTTGGTAGACAGCTCAACTATCAGGACCAAAGCACAAAATGGCACATCTGTAAGCTTTATTCAGTGTTCCCTGATTGATAGATGTTCAGACAGGGGAGGAAGACCCCCTCCTGCCATCCCCCGCCCACTCCCACCACCATCTTGGAGCTACAATCTAACAGATGCTTTCCACGATCAATGTGAGCTGGCCAGCTCTTGTACTGCCTGTGTTCCAGTCACAGACGAGAAATTGTATTGCCGAGAGTCATTAAACATTGCAGAATTGCAAACTCTTCAAGTAAGACAGTTTGTAATTGGTTTTGGGAAGAAATTCCCATTCAGTGATACATCATTGGACGAATGATAGAGAATCAATTTTGGAATCCAATAAATACAAGAAACCTCCTGAGGCGTCGAGAAATAGTGTGTGTTTTAAAAAGGAATCTGATAAAGTTAGACATTGCTGCTGGCTTAAAGGTAGAACACAATGAAAGACTCCTGAGAGAGTGAGAAACACAAGGTTTTATTTATGGTGTTGGGCCTGGAAACCTCCAATAATTTGTTAAAATGATGCATTCAAAACAGCCTCACTGACAAATTCACAAAGGTTTAATAAAAGTGAATGGGGCAAAAGCTAGGAAATAAAGATACTTGCCCAAAAACAGTGCAAATAAGAAATGAATGGACCACCTACAGTAAGGAGGCAGTGGGGGAGAAGTCTTCTGATACATCATGAAGGGGAATATAGGAACTAAAGGAGGCCTTTGAGCCTCTCAGTCCTGTTACACCAATAGAACCAGAGAAAAGGTACAGCATAGAAAGTCACCATTCGGCCCATTCTGTCCATGACAGTTGCAAACAGAAAAGAAATGAGCTGCACATTCTAATCCCATCTTCCAGCACCTGGTCTGTATCTTCACGGGCTATAGTGTCTCGGGGGCAGATCCAAGTACCTTTTAAATAAAGGATCTCTGCTTCCACCACCAAACTAGACACCTGGTTTCACCCTCTGGGTGAAAGCTGTTTTCCTCACTTTGTCTCTAATACCTCCAACCTCCAACCTGGGCCCTTTGATAATTGTCCTCTCCACTGAGAGGAAGGAGCTCTTTCCCTGCCCACTCTATCCAAGCCCTTCAATATTGTGTACACCTCAATGAATCACCTCTCAGCCCCTTCTGCTCTAAGGAAGACCACCCCAGCTTATCCAATCATTGCCCATGGCTGCAACTTTCCATTTATTCAATGACACCACAGCTGATTTGTGAACTAACCCCGTTTTCCCACATTTACCCACAGCACTATTATCGATGGTCAACAAAAATGTATCAATCACAGATTGAAAATTAATCACTGATCGAGCATCGATTGACTTTTCTGGAAGAAAATTCCAAAGGTTTCTGTGCTGATGTTCCATCACTTCGCGAATCTTTAATCGATACTTCCTCGTTCTCTCCCACCCAGCCAGTGTAAATAGTTTCTCTCAATCAGCAAAATACGAATCAATACTGAAAAGTTGCCTTCTTCGCCAACCCCCAGCCCCTAACACCACAACCCCAGCACCCCCCTCACCCATTCCCACACCTCCATTCATTTGGAATGAGTGGCTGCCAATGACTTGTGACCGGCTTTAATGTATCTGCAGTCACCTGTTGCTGAGTCACGTGCCCCAGTAGGGGCTTACCAGGACAGGCCTTGGAGTATATCCACACTAATAGGCCTGATGCAAGAGGCCATAGAATCCACAATGGTTAAGTTATGCAACGACTAGATCTCTGATGTTCTGGGGTTCCCCTGTATTGAGGAATGGAATAGTGGTGGAATATCTGCTTCAGGGTATTTTTAAAAATTTTCTATAGCCATTCACAATTGGATGTGTCAGGGCTGCAGAGCTACAATCTGATCCATTTGTTATGGGGTGTCACTTAGTTTTGCCTCTTGCGTTTTCTCCCATTGTCTGGCATTCATATATTGCCATGTTGTACCTTCACCTCATTTTCAGGTATGCCTGGTGTTGCTCCTGGCAAGCCCTCCTGCACTCTCCATTGATCTAGGGTTGATCCTTTGGCCTGAGGGTAATGGTTGAATGGGGGATATGCCGGGCCATGAGGTTACAGATTGTGTCGGAGTACAGGTCTGCTGCTATTGATGACCACACCATTGGCATCATGTTGCATCACAAACCAACCATTCCTGCCAACTGAGCTAACTGGCGCCCCAACACTGGGGGGTATGGATGGATACGTGATATGCAAATTGGTGAGGACAAGATGAAGTTTGGTTTTCCCTTTTATTGGTTCGTCACCATCTGCTGCAGCCTGAGACTAGTCGCAATATCCTTTAGGACCCAACCAGCTGAATCACTGGTGTTAGTTACTAACCAACACTTTCTGATAAACATTGAAACCCCTCACCCAGGGTATATATACTACGACTTTTGCGACGCTCAGTGTTGGCCAAAATGGGGGAGTGATGATTTTGGCACAATCCTCTAAATATTGGTAAGGAGAATTTTGCAGGGTCAATTGGGCTGAATTTGCCATTGTTACTTCTGGTGCCAGACAGATGCCAGATCTCCTGTTTTGTCAGTTTCTTCCCTTTTAGTCCTTTCTGCCTCGGTTTGGTACAACAACAAAGTAGCTTTCCATACCTGTGTGAATTTGGAGTTACCTGTAGACCATTCACCTCGTTTTCAGGTATGCCTGAGAGGTCCTTAATGAATACTTTTCTTCGGTAGTCACAACCGAGAGGGACCTAGTTGTAGAGGAGGACAGTGTGAAACAGGCTGGTAGGCTAGAGGAGGTCGATGTTAGTAAGGAAGATGTACTAGGAATTTTGCGGAACTTGAAGATAGATAAGTCCCCTGGGCCTGATGAGATTTATCCAAGGATTCTATGGGAAGCGAGGGAAGAGATTGCAGGGCCTTTGGCAATGATTATTTCGTCCGGACTGTCCACGGGTATAGTGCTGGAAGATTGGATTGAGGCAAACGTCATTCCCTTGTTCAAAAAAGGCACAGTTTGATTCATGATGGTCAGCATGGATTTGTGAGGGGTAGATCATGCCTCACAAATCTTATTGAATTCTTTGAAGAGGTGACCAAACACGTGGATGAAGGTAGATCAGTGGATGTGGTATACATGGATTTAATTAAGGCGTTTGATAAGATTCCCCATGGTAGGCTCATGCAGAAGGTAAGGAGGCATGGGATAGGGGGAAATGTGGCAGATTAGATTCAGAATTGGCTGACCCTTAGAAGACAAAGGGTGGTAGTGGACGGAAAATATTCAACATGGTGCTCAGTTACGAGTGGTGTACCACAAGGATCTGTTCTGGGTCGTCTTCTATTTGTGATTTTTGTACATGATTTGGATGTAGGAGTAGAAGTGTGGATTAGTAAGTTTGCGGATGACACAAAAGTGGGTCGACTTGTGGACAGTGCGGAGGGCTGTTCTAGGTTACAAAGGGACATTGATAGGATGCAGAGCTGGGCTGAGAAGTGGCAGATGGAGTTTAACACTGAAAAGTGTGAGGTGATTCATTTTGGAAGGACAAACTCGAAAGTAGAATACAGGGTTAACAGAAAGATTCTTGACCGTGTGGAGGAGCAGAGTGATCTTGGGGTTCATGTTCACAATTCCCTGAAAGCTGCCACCCAGGTGGATAGAGTTGTTAAGAAGGCGTATGGTATGTTAGCTTTCATTAATAGAGGGATTGAGTTCAAGAGCCGTGAAGTTATGCTCCAGCTATACAAAAGCCTGGTTCGGATACATCTGGAGTATTGTGTCCAGTTCTGGTCACCTCATTACAGGAAAGATGTGGAAGCATTGGAAAAGGCGCAGAGGAGATTTACCAGGATGTTGCCTGGAATGGAGGGAAGGTCTTACGAGGAAAGGTTGAGAGAGCTAGGGCTTTTCTCTTTAGATCGACGAAGGATGAGAGGTGACTTGATAGAGGTACAAAATGATCAGAGGTATAGATAGGGTGGACAGCCAGAGACTTTTTCCTAGGGTGGAGGTAGCTATTACGAGGGGGCATAGTTTTAAAGTGAGTGGAGGTGGATATAGGGGAGACATCAGAGGTAGGTTCTTTACTCAGAGAGTGGTAAGGACGTGGAATGCATTGCCGGAGAGGGTAGTGGAGTTGGCCTCATTCGGGGCATTTAAGCGGCTATTAGATAGGCATATGGATGATAGTATAAGGTAGGGGTGGAGGTTAGATAGACCTTAGGTTTAGGGTAAAAGTTTGGGACAACATCGTGGGCCGAAGGGCCTGTACTGTGCTGTGCTGTACTGTTCTTTGTCCTATGTTCTATGTTCTATGTTCTAGAACCAGATAAGAGTAGCAGATTACCTTCCGAAAAGGGCATCACTGAACCATTACATTTCCACATTTATTAATTCAATTTAAATTCCATTAACTGCCATGGTGAGGTTTAAACCTGTTGCCTCATGATGATTGGCCTTTGGTTATTCCAGTAATGTTGTCATTACTCCATGTTTTTGTATTCAACAATCCATTCTGTAGTCTCATATAACTCATTTCTTCATTGACCACAGTCTATATATATTACTGTTTTATCCCATTTGCCATCTGCACTTTTTTTTCCCTGGCTTGAGGTCCCAGTGTCACATCCTGACTGGGATGAGATAGTAGGAACTGCTGATGCTGGAGTCTGAGATAACAAGGTGTAGAGCTGGATGAACACAGCAGGCCAAGCAGCATCAAGGGAGCAGGAAAGCTCTGAAGAAGGGTCCTGACCCAAAACGTCAGCTTTCCTGCTCCTCTGATGCTGCCTGGCCTGACTGGGATGAGTACATTTGCTGTGTTGACTCCTGGTTGGTG